TGTCACAATTTATGCGTCCACATATTGAAAACGCAATTGAAAATACAATTTGCTATTCTATTTGAAAATTGTCCGGAAAATCGTTCCATATATATATATATATATATATATATAGACACACACACATATATACACACACACACACACGTGCTTGATAATTTCTGTGAATAATAGCTTCAGCTAAATGTCAAATTAATCATTTAAATTTGGTATATCCATATTCTGAGCATTATAAAAGTTTTTGGTCATGGTGGAAGGTGTTAGGAAGAGCCAAACCACTAGTAAACAGTTGAGAACTGATTTAGTAAAACTCACTCAAGGACATTTTATCTGACACCTTCAGAAACACATCTCAAGCAGAGAAACAGATCAGAAAAATGTAAAAAGGGTGCAAGTAAAATTCTAAATAAATGTAGAAAATTGATTCTTTTATATTGTGGATAAGTCTGATAGGAATGGTGTGATAAATACATGGGTGGAATGGAAGGAGAGGAAGGGTGTCAACCCACATAAGAGTGACAGAAGTTAAAATGATTAAAGTAAGCTGGAACGTACTGGGTGGACTTTCCAGCAGGATCTCCCAAATGTCTCCCCTCTGAGACCACAGTTTGGGGATGTTCCCAGATGGTTGCATGGCTGCAAAACATGGTCAAATCCTATGGTTTTAAACATTTGCTTTGGAGAGCAAAAAGTTCTTGCATGTAAGCAGAATAGTTCACCTAAAAAGAAGATTCTGTCATTCATTTTTGGTTGAACTGTCCCTTTAGATAGTAATTAAGTACAAGATCCTAGGTCGTAAATGACTTGCAACATGCATACAATCAGGCTAGTCTCTATTCTTTGAAAACATTTTTTTTTTTTTTGACAAGCTGAGATTGTTATTTGAGAGTAGTGTTCTGTTCCCGTTTCATGACACATGACCAGCAACAAGTCAGCTATATCAGCAGTCTTATGATTCCACAGTATTGCACAAAAAGTGTTTCTTTTAAGTTATACATGCTTTTTTTTTTTTTTAGAAACATCGCAAATGCAACTACATTTTTGTCTAGCTTGCATAGTTCAGCATGAATATTTACAACATTTATCCACAGAATATAGTGATTTTCAACCCGAACTCACACGAAAATGGAAGATTTTATGAAGTGGTGATTTCGTATGAATTCATATAATTCATATATTCATTTAATTAAGTTATAATCATGAACACTTTTAAAAATCATGGTTCCAAAAGGGAGTTTTCCATAGATTAACCATTTTGGGTGCCCAAAAGAACCTTTCAGTAGAATATTCTTAAAATAAAAAATTTTTCACACACCTTTTTCCACTATAAAGAACGTTTTGTGGTTCCATAGATGTTAGAGGTTCTTCATGGAACCATCGATTCCAATAAAGAACCTTTATTTTTGAGAATGAAGGTCCACCCTTAACATATCCGTCACTGGGGTGTTAGCAGATTGTATAAAAGCATACAAATAGATTGTACAGATTAAACACCAAATTCGCCCGAACGTTTTTACAAGTTTTATTGTATTGATTTTCATCATTAAAAAGACATTTCTTGTCATATAAAGTTATTTAAAATGCCTCTACAGACAAGCAATTGCCATAGAAACAACCACACAACACAAACACATACACCAAAATGCAAAATGCACTGATGCAAAAGCACCAATCTTGGAGCATGTGGGTTTCAGAGGGTCTCAACCTATGCACACGTGTCTGTAGGTGTGCATTTATAGTTGTAAACATATACATGCCCTTCAAAACCACGCATGGCTCAGATGCCCGAGATGGTTGAGCTCTGACTAAACTGCCCTCTGTGCTTGTGGGAGTGAGTGGGGAGGTGTTCTGGGAGGTGTTGATGAGCTTGTGCTTATGTCTGTGTAAATCATTCTCTACCAAAGCTATTTCAGCACCACAGCAGAGACTTTCCAATAGAAATCAGTGTCATTGACACAGAAAGCCCTGGATGGTAAAGTGGCGGTGAGTATGAAGAGAGAGAGAGAAGGAGGAGAGACAATACAAGGAGGGAAGTCAGTGAGTGAGATTGCGAGACCAGCGAACAGTGGGGCGCAGAGCAGCGTTGTGGATCTGCGCTGCCATCAGAGGTCTTTGCTTTGGAATCTGTCGGACAGCAAAACTGATGATAAAGACAAGCGGTACATAAGTATCAACATTTAAACAAGTTCTGCTTTCAGACAAAAGGGGAAGTAGCTTGTGTTTTCTCTCTCGTCGCTCACAGGGACTTACTTCTCACAATTGCACTTTCATATTCAAAGTGAAACAGAGACTGTTGAGCTATGGGGACGGTGAGCGAACTCTGTGTGTCAAGCTTCCAGGCGTTCTTGTGTCCCACAGTTTGTCCGGCTCCTCCAGCAGGTGGGTGTCATTATGTGCGTGTGCTTGGGAATTACATTCACAGTGAAAAAAATGGTGTAGGATTTCCTTTTCATTCAGAAATTTCATTTTCATTTCTTGTAAATTTCACGGCAAGTAACACATTGAATGAAATGTGAAATTTTGAAGTATTGATTGAAAAAGAAAAAAAATTGTAAAAGGTACTCCAACTTCACAAAGTCATTTTTACAGTAAAATCGGGAATTGTTCAAACTGTTTAAAGGAGTCATGAAATACATGTTCAGATCTTTATATTATGATTCTGTAGGTTAGCTTATAAAGTGTTTTTCACCAAAAAATTGTTTTGAGGGGTGTCTCCTCCACACGAGAATGTGAACATTCAACTCATTAAAACATTAATTTATATACTTGGTCTCTTAATAGCAGTATATGCTGACCTGACTGTGTTTATTACAAACACAATTAACGATTATTAAAAAAATTACTTTCTGGCATTGCCTCCAAGGACAAACTTGGCACTGCCATAGATTTCAAAGCAAGATATTTAATAAAACAAGCAACACGTTGAGCAAAATTAAGAAAACATTCCAAAATAAACTTCAGCCATGTATTTCCAATAATTTGATCTTTTGGATGAGCATGCAGTTTTTAGAGGTGCAGTTTGTCTACATCCAAGCAGAACAACTCCTGGCGGTCTTTCTTGATATTCCCTCACAGCAGTATCACTCTTGTGACTGAACGACAGACATTGTTAAGAGCACACCTCATTGATTTACAGTACATATGCATGTTAAAGGGTGTGTAGAGGAAAATCGTCATGAATGGGGCAATTTCAAATCATAAAAATTCATATTTTAAACTGGGCTTTGAGGTATGAAACTTGCAGTATGTTTTGTGTAAATACCAAGGACATTTTGATTTCCATTTCATGACCCCTTAAGTGATGCACCCATAATGCTGGAACCATTTGAGATCTGAGAAAAATCATGTGCAGCTGCATGTTATATCAATCTAGTGTTGTTGCCGTGGTGATAAACAGTGTCCCTGGATCATGGAAGTGTTGGATGAGAAACGGAGCTGCCGTTATGGGCATGCAATGTGAGACAAATCATTTGTTTTGTTGATGGAAAGTTGCTGGGCTGTTAGAAAGAGTGTTTTTGATATAATCACTGTTGCAACACTATAAATAGTGTCACCATATGATGATCGTGAGACTTGAAACGTCCACCTGTTGCCAAGTGACCGTCAGTCATGTCTTCGTTATACATATTGTATATCTATAGTAATATGATCAGGTTTCACTGTGGACTTCGCCTGCACTCTTTTTTATGTACGTAGTCCTGCATGCGGCTGTTTATTTGTTTGTTTTAGCATTCTCGGCGGGTTTATGCGTGTTTGTTGCTCATCAGTGCAATTTTTGTGAATTAAGTGTTGGAGCTGCTGAGACAGGTGAGAATGAAGAGGAGAAACTCTGAGAGAGATGAAGTAGTGGGACTGATGAAGATCCTATTCTGGGATGATTTTGTTTTTGACATCATAAGAAGAAGAAATCAGTGAAGGGTTTAGATCTGTGGCTTTTATGTTGGATGTATTTTCTCAGTTTTCTTCATATCATCTGTCAAAATTCAGCGACAAAATCCCCCAATGGTCCCCAAGAGATGCAGATTTGAAAACACAAAAAGCCTATTAAGATAGACTCAATGGTTGCTGTTTCATTGCTCAAGATCCTTAATTGAGCTCTGACTTGTGTTTCCTGCAAGTATCAACTTTGTTTCAGATGTTTCTCCTACAATAGACACAAATGAGGCTGTTGTTCGGCGGGTTTATGCGTGTTTGTTGCTCATCAGTGCAATTTTTGTGAATTAAGTGTTGGAGCTGCTGAGACAGGTGAGAATGAAGAGGAGAAACTCTGAGAGAGATGAAGTAGTGGGACTGATGAAGATCCTATTCTGGGATGATTTTGTTTTTGACATCATAAGAAGAAGAAATCAGTGAAGGGTTTAGATCTGTGGCTTTTATGTTGGATGTATTTTCTCAGTTTTCTTCATATCATCTGTCAAAATTCAGCGACAAAATCCCCCAATGGTCCCCAAGAGATGCAGATTTGAAAACACAAAAAGCCTATTAAGATAGACTCAATGGTTGCTGTTTCATTGCTCAAGATCCTTAATTGAGTTCTGACTTGTGTTTCCTGCAAGTATCAACTTTGTTTCAGATGTTTCTCCTACAAGAGACACAAATGAGGCTGTTGTTACAATAAGGCTCAGTCACACCAACAGCTATAAAGATTACCATCAGTGACCACACCAATGGATGACATGTTTATTATATTATATAATGTTGTCTGCCGCTTTAAATGCTTGTGCTCTTTAAAATCAGGTGGATTCTGTTTGGCTCAATGTTTTTATCATACATCAGCTGGAAAAAAAATGTTGTTAAAGTGATTCCAACAATATCATTCCTCTGTGGCAATATGGTTAGTTGTGGTGTGACTTCTCTTTTCTCACAGAATTATATTTATATTTATAGTTATCACTGATATGAACGGTCCTTAGTAATATATAGCGGTAAAATAAATTCTAGGTATAGTATAGCACAGATTGTTTGGACTTTTTGAGCCATTTGGAAAGTTCTGAGAAATGTTCATATTGAAAATTCTCACATCCTTGTTTAGATTGAGAAATTGTTCAGATCTTTGTTGAAACTCTTAAGGAAGTGTGAGAATGTTCTGAAAAAATCTGAGAAGCAGGACACTTTAGCAAAAATCTCAATTTGCTCTCCAATTAATTTCATTACAGTCTAGGAGAAACAACTAAAATATGTAAAAAATACGTTGTGATTTTTTTCCTATTGCCAGAGGCACGGCACAGTGGGTTATGCATGTACTGGTGACACTCAAGAGCTGTTGTGGGTTGCAGGTTTGAGTTTGGCCTACTAAATGTCTCTTCATTGTCCTGTAGAGTTAAAGCCCCAAAAATTAAAATACAAACAAAAGACTGCAGTTCTAGAACTTATGAAGTATTTTTTGTATTTACATATTCAGTAATGTAAATTGGGCCTTCCCCATCAATATCACTATAAGTAATGTAATGATGTAATGATAGTAATGATGTAGTGAATGAATAATACATTAGCTATAATTATAGATGTAATGACATATAATAGATTTCTGTTCTCTGTTTGAAGAATATTTTCTTAACTTGTGCACTATTTGACCTGGTCATTCTTCATCCCCGGGGGAGTTTACATCACACTGTCTGGATCATGTTAATACCCAACCCATTCCCTCCACCCATACACAGACACATACACACAACATAGCACATTTTGGACACTACAAAGACACTTCTCTTGGTTTTATTTCACGTTCATCAGAATAATATCAGCTGATTATCACTGGTAAGGTATTTAGTTTCAAAGTCTTCAACACTAAAACTGTAATTTAACTGCTGTAGTGCTCCATGATTTGTATCACTCCACTTGTCTGTGTTTGTGTGATCCAGACAGACTGTCAGTCTGTGCATTAATGGTTTGGATTTTTCAGTGACTCTTTCTGAAGGTTAAATACTTATGCAAGTAAGTGGCAGCAAGTGTCTTTGAGTGAGCCAATGAATCATTCACTCAACCAAATCATTCAAAAACACTTATTCATTCAGGAACAAAATATTGTTACTTTGTGTTATTCAGATACATTGGTTGTTTTTTTGCTCTACCAAGCTGTTTTTGCTTGGTAGAGCAATATTATCAATATTGTGCATGACAATATTGCGCCTAAAATGTCAATTACTCAATGCTAACTTATAACTTACATAACTTATATATTGCACTTTAAGCTGTTATTAAAAAAAATCACTGAAGCTATGTCCTTGTTTCTTTGTTATTGTCACGGGGCTGACAAGACGTGAGACGTGTGGATCCATGTGCAAGCTTTATTCTGAACAGAAGACAGAGACGTGGTCATAACAGGCAGGGTCAAACAATGGCTAACAGGTATATGGCGGGCAAAACACAAGAATAGTCCTAGGGCTAGCGTAGGTCAACGATCGGCAGACAGAATCACAGGGGCGAGACTAGAGGGATAAATCCAGGGAGACAGGCAAAGATCAGAAACCGAGAGAACAGGCAAGGCAAGGCAAGGCAAAACAAGGAAACACAGAGATTAGGAACGGGGAACAGGCTAAACAATACTCAGCAGAGAATGGTGGTTTGAGTGGGTGTTATATAGTGAGTGAGGTGATAAGCAACAGCTGTGTGCAATGAGTGCAATCAGTGCAGTGTGCAAACCGTGCAATGAATGATGGGATATGTAGTCCGGGGTGCTATGCAACAGTTTGTGTTGTGCGAGAGTCAATGTAATGGAAAGGGTGACCTCTGGTGGTGAATAAACGGAAGTCCATGGACCGAATTCGTGACAGTTATACATTTGAAAGAACGTATTTGATTCTTTTGGGGAAGGCGCAAGAGTTACAGTGAGAGGCTTTCATACAGAAACCGTGTCTTCTTTTTCTTTGTAAAAAAAGGAAAAATTTAAATCGCATCATATGACCCCTTTAAAAAAAAAATAAAAATGGACGGGAAATTCAATGCATCCTTTTGTATGCTCTTTCATTTCTCCAGAGTTTGGCAAACTACAGCGTTTTTCAATCAAGTGAAAAGGGAAGTCATTTATTTTTTGTATATTAAGAGCAGTTCCCATAATGACTCTTGAGAATCAAAAAGACAAATATGTGTGTCAAGCTGCTCTCCTGTTCAGCACTGATTCTGTCATATTTAGTTAAATTCGATGTTATTTGTATAATGCTTTTAGAATTCATAATACATATTGTTTCAAAGCAGATTCACAAAAAGTATATGTTTTCAATGATACAATCTGTTTATTGGTCAAAGGTGAGTGTCAGAGTAATATCCATACGACATTAGTATACAGCTATAAGATCATAAAGGTTATTATGTGGCTAGTTAGTGTGTAATGTATTCAGTGAAGTAGACATAATAAATAAGTTACTGTAGATGACTACAGC